GAGAGCCGTGTCCTCAGCTGGGAAAGGCCCCTGTCTGCAGGGGGAGAGCCGGGTCCTCAGCTGGAACGCGGTGGGTGGCTCGGATTTTCTCTGCTTTGGGCACGTCTTCGAGAATGACCCAACAGCCCCGAGTACTGATCTGCGGGTCACAGTTAAATTTTCGCGAGTAGGTAAATTTGTAAATATGCAATCTGTGAATACTGAGGACAGGCTGTAATCCAGACACACACACGTTATTTATCGGAAACATCAGGAAGCCGCTCCTCTCCAACAGCATTTGTGAGACACGAGTCCCTTCTGGCTTCAGAACCCTCTGATCCAACTGTAAATGGTGTAAAAACCCTCCTTTCCACAGCAGGGGCATTGGCACTGCCTGGAAGAGCCTGCTTCCCAGAAAGCTCAGACCAGGGAGGGGCTGGCGCCTGAGAGCCGCCAGTGTCTGAGGCCGCAGTCCGCCTTCTCCGACCTCACGGAGCCCGAGTTCCTGCACACAGGGGGCTCCTCCTGGAGCCAGGCTGGAGCAGAGGCCTGTCTCGGCCCCGCAAGCCCCTACCCCAAGCTCTGGGCGTGTCACTGATGCACACCCCAGCCAAGGCGCAGGCTCAGGCCCAACGTCCCAGGTCCACACACACAGGTGCGCATGGAGCCCACCATGTCCTGCTGGGCCGCAGGGACGTGCCATGGGGGCCACTGATGCCTGACGGCTGAGGGCGAGGGGCTGGGCCGGGGGGTGGGGTGTTGAGGGGCTTAATCGTGTGGGCCGGAAGCACCGGCTCCTTCCTCAGTGGGTCCCCGGGCAGACACAGCCCTGGAGGGAGCCCCCCTGAGCAGGGGTCTGCCTGCAGTTCCCACCCAGAGTCAACACAGCCCACTCACCTCGGTCCCCTGCCACGCGAAACGGGGTGCAGACTCAAGGTGCATCAGGGCATGCCAAGCAGCAATGGCTCGGGACCTCACTGAACCCTTTCACGTGCCGTACCCCAGAGCCCCCGGCAAACTTGGGGGAGTGCGAGGCCCTACCCCATTTACCCAGACATGCGGCAGAGGGTGGTGGCAGAGTCAGCCCCCCAGCCCCCATCCGTCTCCCCACTGACCCCACCACCCATCCTAGCAAGCGCAGGAGGCCTGGCCTTGGGGCTGGGCACAAGCCGGGGTCCCCTCTGCTCCCCCATCACAGGAGGCTGGCCCTGTCCCAGTGCCCCCCTTCACCACCCCCAGGGACTTGTGCCATCCTCCGAGATGCACAGAGGTCCTCTCCCTGACACTAGAGGCCATGGTGGCCTGGAAGAAACTCTGCACAAAGGCCTCGTCACTGGGCCCAGACGCTCTGGCCTCCTCCTCCATGGAGAGGGCCAGGCAGCTGCCCCAGGGGCTGTGCCCCAAGGGTCTGAGGAGGGCGCGGCCCTGGACAAAGAGGAGCCTGGAGCCTCCCCTCAGGCTCAAGGGCCTCTTCTTCTTGAAGCTGAAACCATAACTGTGCAATCAGAAACACAACCCGACTTCAAAAGAGAAAGTGGGTTGGACACAGAGAGCTGCGTCCACATGAGGACGATACTGAGGGCGGATCCTGAAACCCGCCACACCCTGCGTCCCTGGTGTCTGCTGGTGGGAAGGCTGGGCCGCTCTGGGGCACCCAGGATCTGACCCCACAACAGCAGAAACACCCACAGCCAAATGCCTGGAAACCGCTCGCCTGGAACAGTGGGGACGAGGGCTCCCGGAGGGGGATGTCAGTGCCACTCCACGGCCACATGGAGAGACAGTCACCCACTGCCAGCCTCTCCAAGGACACACCCGACAGGCAGAAATCCCACAGCCTCCTCGTAACATGACCGGGAGAACCCTGCAAGGGGCAGAGGGGACGAGGCCGGGACAGGTGGGGGACGTGGGTGCCCACAGCTGGGGGCAGCTGACGGGGGTCTCAGACCAGACATGCCGCCCCTTTATAAGGACTGGACAACGGCCAACAGCCAGGTGTCCACTGCAGGGATTTGGTGACTACAGGGGACACGCTGTACAGCTGACACAGAGACGCCTGGGCTACCAAATGAACAGCCAGTTACAAGACAGCACGGGTGACAGGACTTTTGCTGTTAAACGCACGTGTAAACGAGATGTGAGCACAGGGAAAGAGAAGGGACAGGAGCAGGGGCGTCTCTGGGGCTGCGGCCACAGCCGCAGACTGTCTTCTCGTCAGTTACCTATCCTGGAAAAACAGCCAGCGCTTCAGCTCAGCAAGCAAACCCGAGTCACCCTCTGCCCCCTTCCAGTTCCCACAAATGCCACTGACTTTCCGGAAACTTCTGGGAGGTGCAGATCTCAAAAGGCCAAGAAACGACCTAGTGATGGGCCACAGCTCCCCGCGACTGGCGGGACGAGGCTGCACGGGAGAGCTGTGTTGTCTTCGAGCAGCCTAGAGCTTCACGTGTCCCGAATCCTGACGGACCAGGGTCGCCTCATCGGGCGAGTTCGCGTCAGTTCTGAGCTCAACCCAAACGTGAGGCGTGTGACGGAGCCAACAGTCGCGATTCACAGCAGCTGGACGGCAGGGGGGCACAGACGCAGCACGGCTGGTCAGGGGCCACAGCTTCCGTCAGGACGGCTGCACGGCCCCAGGACCGTCGCGTGACCCGTAGCACAGCCTGGTATGAAGGGACACGGAGCACTCAGCCCAAAGGCCAGGTGTTAGCTCACTCTGAGCCCAAGGGCACGGCAGCTGAAGCCCCCTGTGTTCCACATAGGATGCGGGGTGAACCCACTTGTCAGGGACCAGGTCTAGAAAGTACTGAGCAGGGCAGTGCTCACACTGGCAACGCCTCAGGGATCCAGCACCCGAGATGCTTCCTTCCAATGGAGTCCTCAGTTCCCTCCATCCCCTGGACCCTGCCCCACTTCACAGACCCGAACGCCCGCCCATCTGAGGGAGATGGGGCACTGTCCACTCGGTGGTCAAATCGGGGAAGGCGCCAGCCCAGCGACTCCTGCCCACAGCCCCTGGGGGATGCGCTCAGCGGTCACTCAGCCCCCTGTCCGTCCCCTCTCATCCTCCTACAGCCGCCCTCTGCCCTGTGGACACACAGATTGGGGACCCCTCGGCTCAGCCAGGCCACCCAGCGTGACGCCCCCTAACCCTGGTCCTGTCCCCAGCCGTCCCCGGCCGAGCGTGGACTCTGGGGCAGGGGAGCTGCAGAAAACGTCTCCTCACGGCTCTGCCTGGTGCCGGGCAGGGCTCCAGGGCCTGCGACTCAGCAATAATTTAGGAGCAGCTCCTGCTCTGAAACCAGACCCCTCCACCCTGCAGCCACGGGGCCACCCTGAACCTCCAGACAGTCCACCCACCAGCAGACAGGGCCTGCTATGTCCCCCACAATATGTACTGAAGCCCTGGTCCCCCTCCTGTGACTGTCATCCTGTCTAGACACGGGGGTTTTGTTATCTTGGTGAGGGTGGGTCCCAAACTTCAACCCTTGCGAGTGTGTCCACAAAGAGCAGACGCACTTAGGGGAGGGTGCTGCCAGCGGGCCAGACTCAGCTCGCAACCCAAGAGGAAGCACACGCCTTGTCTCTAGGGTGCCCCCTTGTGGTTGGTTGCAACAGCATCAGGATTGTGACCCCATGACCCCTAGAACCAGGGGGACGCCCTGGGGGCTGGTCCTGCCGGCACCTCCCTCCAACCCCATGGTGGACATGAGGGCAGCAGGTGGCCGGCTGAGCCTGGGCAGCGAGGCTCCGAGGCTGGAGGGTGGCCCTGGAGGAGCAGGGCAGATGGCCAGAGCCAGGGACAGAGGGACGCGGAACCTGAGGACGTCTATCCACGGCCTCCCAGCCAGACCCCAGCAGGGTCCAAGGGCCCTAACATGCCCGATCAGAGATCCTGTATCACCCCCGTGGCCTCTGCCTCCACCCCTCAGAGGCCAGTTGAGGCAGTCAACTGGCCCACGGACTAGGGCGCTGGCACCCTCAGAGGTACCTCGGACCCCTCCGCCCTCCTCAACCCTGCAGCCCTGCCATCCTGATGTCTACAACCATCACTCTGGCCCGGCCTCACCCTCTCCCTCACCAGGGCCCACCCAGCCTCACCCTCTCCCTCACCCGGGCCCACCCGGCCCCAGCCTCTCCCTCCCCCCGGGCCCACCCGGCCTCACCCTCTCCCTCACCCGGGCCCACCCGGCCTCA